GGTGCCTTGCCAGAGACAAGGGAATCCAAGGCTGCTTTTATTTCTGTTAAAGTTGGTTCTTTGTCCAACTCTTCCAAGACAGACAGGCACTCGATGTTATTTAATGCCTCTTCAATTACTACATTCTCCCTGGAATATAGCTCAGAGTAATGCTGCACCTAGCGTTCCATCTGCTGTGCTCGGTCCTGGATGATCACGCCCATAGCAGACTTCAAAGGAGCAGATTTCTTCTGTATTTGACCAAAGCCTGCTTGATACTGTCATACATTCCCTTGATGTTATCTGTTTCTGCTGCTATCTGTATCTGAGAGCTGAAGCCAATAATCATTAGAACATCTTCTGGCAGCCTGTTGAACTTTGCTACGAGCAACTTGAAGAGCCTGCAAGATATACTCACCAGGATAGGCTTTATATGCTGCTAGAGCTCTCCTCTTTTCCTTGATGGCTGGCATCAACTCCTCCAAATGGGCTTCGAACCCGTCTAACATCTTTTCGCTCTTCTTGCTGACAAGAACAGAGTTCTTGAAATGTCCCCATTGTTCGGGTGCATTTGCATCAGCCGGGCCAGAAAGGGTTTCCTCAAGTGCTTGAGCAAATTCCTCCACTTTTCTTTGACTGTGAGTCTTGCTGATGTCAATACGTGGTCTTCCTTCCTTTTTCATTTGTGCCTACATATATTTATTTGTAAACAAATTCAAACACTGCAAAATACAATTTGCCCCCAATGACTCCCATCCAAATCACAACAGACCTGAGGAAAGTGTTGAACCACTAGAAATTCTCCTTGTTCAGAGAACTACTAATATCAACTAGATTCAACAAATGGAAGGTAAAAGGTAAAAGTAAAGGATCCCCTTGACATTCCTGTCCAGTCGTGTCTGACTCTAGGGGGCGGTGCTCATCCCGTTTTCAAGCCATAGAGCCAGTGCTTGTCTAAAGACAGCTTCTGTTGTCACATGGCTAGTGTGACTAGGGAATGCCGTTTTACCTTCCCACCGAGATGGTACCTATTTATCTATTCGCATTTGCATGCTTTCGAACTGCTAGGTTGGCAAGGCATTGGGACAAAGCAACAGGAGCTCACTCCGTCCCATGGATTCGATCTTACAGCTGCTGGTCTTCTGACCAGCAGCACAGAGGCTTCTGCGGTTTAGCCCGCAGCGCCACCACGTTCCATTCAACAAATGGAAACAGAATTTTAACAATGAACCCTAAGAGGTGTTAGTCAAAAATCTATTATGACATCACACCACCCAATTGTCATTTCGCAAGTGATTCTTCCATTTGCATGATTGTGCTTTCTCTGAGTGTATGTTGTGTGAACCCCAATATTCTGCAATGTCAACAGGATCACAGGCTTCCACTGTCCACTGTGTGATAGTTTGTTCAATGGTGTGATATAGTGCAACTCCATAACAGAAAGTTTACACTATGTAAACGCTAAACAGGGGTTGGGCCACTTAAAAAATACAAACCAAAAATTACAATAAATGATGGGGTCACCTATGATAATGAAACCTAAAAGTCAGGCAAATTTTACCTTCTGGCGGTGTTCCAATGCTGCCCCCAAGCCCTAAAACAGCAATGCTATGATTGAGTGGTTGCACTATCATTGCTGATTCTTCTCCCCTTTCCCAGTGGGGTATTTTTACTGGCTCCAAGTGGACATTTTCCAACCCATCCTTCATCAAGGCTTTATGCATGTACTGGATAGCCAGCTCTAGATTTCTGGAACCACTCATTCTCGGCCCGATAATGTCCACAAAAAGTGCCAGTCTTTCATAGGATCTGTTCTGAGCACTTCCATAAACAGCAAGATTGATAATCTTCTTGGCAATCTCTGAATAATTCGCTATTTCCCTCTGGATGTTGTCATATGTTCTTTGATAGCCATTGGGACTGTTGTTCAATGGGTCCCCTCTGTTTAGAGAAAATAGGCAGACAAAGACTGTATAAAAAAGGAAATTCATTCTTCTCTCTAGTTTTGTGTGCCAATCTGTAGGAAGAAGAAGAAAACATTATGGTAAGTTATTCAGCAATTTTTTTATTGTTTTGAGTATGGTGGCCTGTTAAAAGACGAAAAGCCCATCTGAACAGGGGTGGTCATGTGGAAATGGAATGACAAAAAAGTACAGGCATTCTGCAAATACAGTCATTAGTGAAGCCTTCTCCTTCATCCTCAAGAGCCCAAGAAGCATTGTGAGAAAATAAAACAGCAACTAGCAAAAAGACCCTGATGTTGGGAAAGTGTGACGGCAAGAAGAGAACAGGACAACAGAGGATGAGATGGTTGGACAGTGTCATCAAAGCTACCAACATGAATTTGACCAAACTCTGGGAGGCAGTGGAAGACAGGAGGGCCTGGCGTGCTCTGGTTCATGGGGTCACGAAGTCAGACACAACTTAAACAACAGACCTGCCCACTGGGTGACGTGCCTGCTGGAACCAATCAGGTTCAGGAGGGTCCAAGAAAAGAGGAAGGAAACCCTCTGCTTAGGGCTTTCTCAAACCTGATTGGGCTCTGACTGAATGCTCCTCCTCATGTCCCCTGACCCCCAATCTATATGGCAGAGAGAATTTCAACATAGACTTCTCTAGAGTGATTAGAGGAACTTTTTTTATTATCTGAAATATTATTCGTAGTGTTGAGGTTTCCTTCTTTGGCCAGTGATTTATTTACTAACAACTCAAATTGCAAAGCTGCAGTCTGAAAATCAGCTAGCTGAGCACTTTGAAAATAGACCCTCAAATGTCCCTGGAAATAATGACACACGTCATTCCCACAGACACAATAAAGCAAATAAGATTAATTTTCCAGCATGTTTGTGGGCAGCCATCTTTGTCTCCATACATTTGTCTTAGAAACAACAGCAATCCATCAAACAAAGCTCCACTTTCAAAAGATTCAAGTATGAGGCTTTGAACTAAGCCTTTACAACATGTATGTTGTACAGAGTTGCAAGATGGGTGATAGTTGGCTCAGTCATGCCACAGATGAGAAAGACCTTGGAAATGTTCTAGATCACAAATTGAATAAGAACCAATAGCTGCAAAAAAGACAAACACTAACTTAGGCTTCAATACCAGAAGTCTACTATCCAAATCACGTTTCACCTCTGTTCAGCACTAGTTAGGCTCATCTTGAGTTCTGGACACCACATTATAAGACAGATGCAGACAAACTGGAACAGGTTTAGAGATGGGCACCTAGGATGATCAGGGAACTGGAAACCAAACACTGTGAGGAAAGACTGAAAGAACTAGACATGTCTTGCCTTTAGAAAAGAATAGAAATATTATCACATCCTTGAAATACTTCAAAGGTTGTCATATAGTTATAAGACAGATGCAGACAAACTGGAACGTGTTTAGAGATGGGCACCTAGGACGATCAGGGAACTGGAAACCAAACACTGTGAGGAAAGACTGAAAGAACTAGACATGTCTTGCCTTTAGAAAAGAATAGAAATATTATCACATCCTTGAAATACTTCAAAGGTTGTCATATAGCCGCCCCAAGTAGACTCTGTCTAGAGGGGTGGGGTAGAAAAATCGTGTAATAAATAAATAAATAAATAAGTTGGATCTGTTGTTGCAGAGTACAGTACATATATTAATGGGCTCAAGTTGCAGGAAGCTAGATTTTGGCTGAATATCAGGAAAAAGTTCCCCACTCTTAGTAGTACAACAATGGAACCAATTGCTTGGTGGTGGGTGAGACATAAAAAAGAAAGTTAAGATAACTGTCTGTCAGATATACTTTAATGCACTGAGCAAGGGTTTGGACTCTATGGTCGGGTGAGACATAAAAAAGAAAGTTAAGATAGCTGTCTGTCAGATATACTTTAGGGTTTGGACTCTATGGTCTTATAGGCCCCCTTCCAACTCCATTATTCTATGATCCTGTACTTGTCTGCAACAAGGAAACTTGTAAGTTACTATGCAACTGCTCTCTTCTTTGCTTTGCTCCAGATGGGCCCAAGCTCATGCATGCACCAAGTAGAGCTTTATTTGATGGCATTCCTTCTCAGTCCACTCATCTCGTTACTAGCTTTTTGGTGTGCTGGCATTGCACAAGTGCACCATGCATATAAGTAACTTCATCCTAAATCAGTGCGCCCTGGGGCCAAGTGGGTGTAGGTGAAGACAGCACATAGGTTTTAAAGCCAAACAAAGACAAGCCAACTTTTCCCTTCTCCAGCATGACCTGCCTTAAGATTTGTCTCCCCTCTTGAATTCCAAGGAAACAGACTACAGTAATTATCTGAGTCTTCTGCTGGCGCCCTGAGACCCAGGAACACTAGTTTTGATGAAATATTTCCTTTCTTGCTTGGGCAAAAAGTGAATGACCACCCTGATATCTATTTTCTTCTATGTAGGAAAAGGCATTTTTGAGAAGCAGGCAAAGTAACCGGCAATTGTTAAAGAGAATACAGCACATAATATGCTGTTTCAATAATTTCTTAATTCAATAACTTCAGAGAAACAATTCCTTAACTGGGTACTGTTACTCTTGAGGGCACTCAGTTCCTCGGGGAACATTCCAGAATAGTTATGCAATAGCAGGCATCCTCTCCTTGCAATATGTTATGAATGTATCTCAAAGTAGAAGAATCAGATGTATGAAAACTGAATGAAAGGCAAAGAAGTGTAAAAGAGCTTAGGTTGCTTCCTGGAAGAGGGCTGTTCTTCCTCTTAAACTAAAACTAAAGCTTTTCTAGACCAGAACTCCCAGAATCCCCCACTGACCATGGCTAGGCCAAGGCACAATAGTCTAAAAAAATCAGTCGGTTTTCTAGCTTCTGGAATAGGATGTGAAAAAGTTACGTTTCTTAACAACTATGCATGCCTTGTTAGACAGTAAGGTTATCAGGTCTCAGACCATTGTCTAAAGCAGTGGTTCCTAACCTTGGGTTCCCAGATGTTCTTAAACTAGAATTCCCAGAAGCCTTCACCACGAGCTATGTTGGCCAGGATTTCTGAGAATTTTAGTTCAAGAACATCCGGGAATCCAAGGTTGGGATCCACTGCAACTAGAGGCTTCCCAGAAGCCACTGGGGCAGCTTCCTTCCTTCCTTTCCTTTTCAAACAGGAAGTTAGACCCACCCAATAAAGTCAAAAACTCCAAAATGCACATCCCTAGAAAACATGGCAAAGTATTAAGATGTAGAAGGCATATCAAATCCTCTTTGACAGTTATACATGAAAAATGGACATAACAATTAGCTATTCCTTTTTATATTAACCAATCTGCAATTAGAATGCTCATATTAGACTCTTGCATGTTACATGATGGGAAAATAAAAGAAACCTATAGATCTGCCTAACTTGATATTTAAGAAGCTTTTGCACAATAGGACCTCACACTGGAATGCTTCATTTTCTGCTGAAATTTAACACAGCCCTTTCTCAGTTTCTAGGAATGCCATAAACCCTGATTAAGTGCTAATTATAATTGTCATAAGAATAAAGCAGGCTTATCTTTAAAAAACTAATCCCAGATGCAAAATTGAACTTTATTCTACAAAGAAAAATATTCTCAGCAGCAAGTTGTTCCATGCAGGGGCGGACTGCTAATTAGTTCCTTTAAAAAAAATACTTTGAAACCACACAGGTTTGAAAAACTTCCTCTGTGCTTTGAGACCACCACCCTCTCCCCGACTGCATGGCATAATCCACTGGGAATGATTCTAATGGTGTCACAAGCTCTTTCAAAATGAACATGACCTACGAAAGAGCACAGCTTTATGTATCTGTGTGACTTGTGTGACATAAGCCTGGTAAAACAGGATGCCCAGATGCTGTGCTGTGTTTTGAATCTTGGCTGCCGAATTCAACCTCCATAGCAGTGTTCTAGGTCAGATCCTTTCCGACAGGATCAGATAGAATTCTCTGGCTCTAAACATGGGTCTGCGGCAGGTTTTAACTAGGCCAAAAGAAGGCAGAGAGAGGTGAGGGCATACCCAAATAGTATGTGATGCTCAACCACAATACACTATACAGTGGTTCATGTAATTAACTGAACAATTGCCCATGCCATGGAATATACTGTACCTCTGGAAAGTTTCATTTGCTTCAGGAGCCTCTTAGGGCACATCAACCCACCTCACTCTACTCCTTCCCTTGAAGCAATTCCGCCTCACTCTACTCCTTCCCTTGAAGCAATTCAGCTCAGGGCAGGCTTGTCCAACCTGCGGCCCATTGGCCGCATGCGGCCCAGCGTGCCTCCTGCGGCCCATTGGCCGCATGCGGCCCAGCACGCCTCATAATGCGGCCCAGTGCAATTTTTTATTTTTAAAGAAATTCCAAAGTTTCAACTTACACTGCCGGCGCTTGCGGCCAGAATGTGGCCGGGGCACGTCACAACAGTAGGGGGGGAGGGAAGGAAGGAAGGAGCAGGAGGGGAGGGGAGAGGGGGGCTGCGTGACTGCATTGCGCCATCTCCGTCAATTGGTGGACCCACCAGAGTCGAAGCTGGAAGCCTCTGCTGTCTGAGATCGCAGCTGCCAGCAAGCACGCTTGGAGCGGGGCTGTGGAGGATGGCTAGGGCCGGCCCCCCCCAAGCAGCCCAAACCAAATTTATGTGCGTCCCAAACCAAATTTTCATCTTCTAATGTGGCCCAGGGAAGGTGAAAGGTTGGACACCCTTGGCTTAGGGTGAAAAGCTTCCATCACTAAGAATGGAAGCTTTTTTCCTTCCCTCCAATTGTCCCACGTAGGAAGCAGCTGGGGAAGGATGGGAAAGTTGAGTGGGACTGAGGGGTATGCATGAGGGAGTCAATTCTGGATGAGACACGTTCTGTGGGATGTTGGTTTGAGATTTCATTCAAGTCTGCATTTTAAAGTGAATCTGATTTGATCTATACGTCCTAGACAAGGTAAGAATGAGATAATGGATCTATTCCAGTTGGGACTAGCAATAGGAAAGTGGCCTATTATGTATGGCTACATGAAAGGCAGGTTGGAAGCCTTTGAAATTTATCAATATAAAATAAA